GTGAATTAAACTCATTCATCTTCCAAAAAAGTTCATGGATTACAGGAAGACCATCGGTCACGTTACATGTAAATAATATTGCAAGTTGAACGAATTAATAAATTATTAATTTGTACGGACATGGAACTGAAACCCATAGAAGGTCAATGCCGACGCCAGGTCATCGGCAGTTATTGTAATTAGAAATCACGTATCATGGTTGCTCGACTAGCATAAAATAAGGTGGTTTTGGGAGATGAAGGATCAGTCTACAGATGGAGAATTATCCGAGTTAGTTATAGTAATAGTGCCTTTTTAGTCCTGTGATAATTATTAGTGCCCACGCCCATAACTGACATGTATTTGTGGTAAGCTTTATTGTAAATACACTTTCCTATTTTTTGTACTTGGCTCTAGTTTTGATTCACACCCCCTCATAACCGCCAGGTCCGACAATATTTCTATATCAGTGATGGTACCTGCCTTCCCCGCGCCCATGGTTTGGGATGGTTTTATGGTCGTGACCCTCGATTTGTGCTATAACTGCAATGAAATAAACTTCAACAAGCCATCCACCCTGAATTAAAATATCAAGGATTGTATGAAAAAAATATAAATATATTTAAAAAAATAATGTTTAATAATTCGACACTGTACCTCGTAAGATAACAGTTTTTGCAATGTTACATTTATCTAAACAAACCGATCCTCATTTTTGAGATTAGGATTTTTTTTTAAAATTGTATTTTAATATAATATTTTTTTTAGATTTATGATAAAAAATGAGTGGACAGACGAAATAGACATATCCGGAAATCCACTAATTGATCCTAAGGGGCAAACGTAAAGGAAGAGGAATATTTATATGTATCCAATTTACCGTCACTACCAGATGATATCGAGAAATTTCACTTTAACAATTTCTTCAGCAAATCTATAACCAAAAATAATTCACAACATATAAATGTGCATCAACAGGGCTCAGTAGACCTGGCCCCCCCCAGTTGATAATATTTATCCAAAACGCTAGCCCTCGTTCTCCAGAGCTAGCGCAACCTAGCGCAACTTTTTCGAAAGCTAGCGCAGCTACAGGTCAAAAGATATGTGGCTTTATATTCGGGGGGAGGCTAGGGTGACGCTAGCCCCCCCCCCCCCCCAGTTATTCGATCTTCTCAAAAATGCTGGCGCACATTCGTAACACCTAGCGCAATTTGTGGCATAGCTAGCGCAGCTATCGTAGCTGTCATACAGGGTGGACAAAAAAATCATGAGCCCCTACAAGTGATTCGTAATTTTTCAAAAATATATATGAAGCTTCCTTAAAGCTAGCGCAGGTAAAATTCGAGCAACCGCATTACCCCTTTAAAACATATACAGGTATTTATTCGGGGGGGGGGGGGGGGGGCTAGATCAACGTTAGCCCCCCCCCCCCCCCAGTTGTTAAATCCTATTCAAAAGGCTAGCGCAAGTTCGTGACACCTAGCGCAGCCTAGCGCAAGTTGTGTTATAGCTAGCGCAGCTATCGTAGCTGTCATACAGGGTGGACAGACAAAATCATGAGCCCCTGCAAGTGATTTTTAATTTTTCAAAAAATATATATGAAGCTTCCTTAAAGCTAGCGCAGGCTAGCGCAGGTAAAATTCGAATAACCGCATTACCCCTTTAAAACATACACACATACAGGTATTTATTCGGGAGAGTGCCGCTAGCCCCCCCTCCCCCAGTGGTTAAATCCTTTCCAAAATGCTAGCGGAAGTTCTTGACACTTAGCGTAAGTTGTGTCGTAGCTAGCGCAGCTATAGTAAGTAAATGTTATACAGGGTGAACTATGAAATCTTACAAAATGTCGCCAGCTGCAAGACCAGATTTAACGTTTACAAGCGCTATCTATTCGCGAAGTAGGTAACTAAAACTTAACCTCACAAAGAAATGAAAAAATTGAGGTAGGTATCTTTTTCAACTTTGATGCGCGCGCAACTAGTGGGTTGTACAGTGACTGTATTACCACAGTGGCGACAATAATTGCAGTCTTATTTATGATTGGTTTTTTAAAATCCTATAATATGTTCATATTAATGAACTGTGTTCACTTTGTGGCGTAACTCTTGCTAATTTTAAATATGAATATATACGATTTATGGACATCGATCATAACAAATTGAGAACAACGTATTTGATTTACCTAATAATGGTCATCAAATACATTGTTTTCAATTTTGTATGATAAATGTCCATTTAAATCCTATATATTCGTATTTAAAATTAGCAAGAGGAAAGCCACAAAGTGGCGGCGGGACCTCTATTGTCGCCACTGTGTTAGGTTTATTGTCACTGTAGTGAGTTTAGGGATGGCAACGACATATCGATATTTAGTTCGTCGATATATCGATACTGAATATTGTCGACATTTTTAGTGGTGGTGGCGGTGGGGTTTGTCAGGTTTGTGAAGCAAGAGCTAGTACTTTTTTTATCACCAATTAAGAATTACGTTGGTTGAATGCATTTAGTGATTCCAGGCCGTGGCATGTATGTGTTTCTCATATAAGGTTTGAATTTCACTGTTTTCTGTTTTCTGATTTGTTCTGATTCCGGCCTGACTATAAAAGAAAAAGTATAACTTCGCGAAGAGATAGCGCTTGTAAACGTTAAATCTTGTCTTGGAGCTGGTAACATTTTTTAAGATTTCATAGTTCACCCTGTATAACATTTACTTACTATAGCTGCGCTAGCTACGACACAACTTACGCTAAGTGTCAGGAACTTCCGCTAGCATTTTGAAAAGGATTTAACAACTGGGGGGGGCTAGCGTTGATCTAGCCCCCCCGAATAAATACCTGTATATGTTTTAAAGGGGTAATGCGGTTGCTCGAATTTTACCTGCTTTAAAGCTTTAAAGAAGCTTCATATATATTTTTGAAAAATTAAAAATCACTTGTAGGGGCTCATGATTTTTTTTGTCCACCCTGTATAACAGCTACGATAGCTGCGCTAGCTATGACACAACTTGCGCTAGGCTGTGCTAGGTGTAACGAATGTGCGCTTGCATTTTTGAGAAGATCGAATAACTGGGGGGGGCTAGCTTCACCCTAGCCCCCCCCGAATATAAAGCCACATATCTTTTGACCTGTAGCTGCGCTAGCTTTCGAAAAAGTTGCGCTAGGTTGCGCTAGCTCTGGAGAACGAGGGCTAGCGTTTTGGATAAAAATTATCAACTGGGGGGGGGGCCAGGTCTACTGAGCCCATCAACAGAGAAATAAGGAATTTGAATGCTACAAATGCAATGCAAAATTTAAAAACAAAAAAGGATTGAGAAAACATTTCATCATACATCTAGATGATTATCCGTATAAATGTGACACTTATGAAGCAAAATTTAAATTGATCGGCCATTTGAACAGACATTTGAAGACATTTAAGCATTCGGATGATCATGCTTTCGAATGTGATACTTGTAGCGCAAAATTCAAACAGAACGCCAGTTTGAAGCGACATTCAAAGACGCACTCGAATAATTATCCTTTCGAATGTGACACTTGTAATGCAAAATTTAAACGCTTCGACAATTTGGAGCAACATCAACAAACTCACTCGGATGAGGAACCATTCCAATGTGACACTTGTAATGCGAAATTTAAACTAAAATCAAGTTTGTACCGACATCTAAACGATTACTCGGATGATCAACCTTTCCAATGTGACACTTGTAATGCGAAATTCAAACAGAACGCCAATTTGAAGCAACATCTAAAAACTCACTCGGATGTTTATCGTTTCGAATGTGACACTTGTTATGCGAGATTTAAATGGAATAGCGATTTGACCAAGCATTTAACGACGCACTCGGATAATTATCCTTTCGAATGTGAAACTTGTAGTGCGAAATTTAAACGGTTCGACAATTTCAAGCAAAATTCGACACTCGGATGATAAACCTTACAATTGTGAAACTTGTAATACAAAATTTAAATACAAAAGTAGTTTCAACCAACATCTAAAGATGCACTCAAATGCCTAATTATTTTTCGGAATGTTACACTTGTATAGTGAAATTCAAATGTGTTGGTTATGGGACATTATACAATGAAATATGGCTAAATTTCACAGTCCAATCAGAAAATTAGATAATTACTAGTTTGTTTTGGTCAGATTTGACAAAGCTTCACTTTTGAACATATTTTAAGAAAATGCACCTTGACCTATTAGACCGTATACCAAATTTGAAAAATTCGAAAAATATATATTTCCTTGTTTTCCTTAGACGTCCAACGAGCCATCCAGCCTAAGTTCAAATATCAAGGATTGTTTAAAAAAATAAGAACAATAAATTATTTAAAAAAAAAAAGTTTCTGTTCGGTTTTCGTTTCTTGATAGTTTGACACAAAGTTTCAAAAAACTCAATTTTCAACTGTCAATATTTTCAAAACACTTGACCCCCCTTCCCATTTAAGATTTTCTAGGGGTTGGCTCTGAGGGCTGGGGGGTTGAAAGGGGGAGGTGAATTTTGCATAAAAACTCATCCCCCTTTAAATTATAGTTGGCGTGTTTCAGGGATTTTTTCCAAAATTTTCAACTCCGAGAAAATAGGGATGGTAAGTTTTAAAGTGAACAGCCTGTATATACAGGGTGTTTCATAGTTATTGTAACAAACTGAGAGGGGTTGTAGAGGGTGTCAAAATAAGTGATTCTGCTCTATAAACACCTGGAGCCCAAAGGGAAATTTCCGGACAAGATTTCCCACAAAGCCGGCCCATATGTTAATTGCAAACTGTTGTTGGTCTCTACGGAGGGCTAGGGCATGGGGATTATCTTCAGCTCAAAATTGACTATCACGGATATTGGAAAACCCGTCTCGTGTAAAACATGCCTCGTCCGAAAATAAAACATGGCGACCAAAGTCTGGTAATTACCACCTGCTGCAACCACCAAGAACAGAAACGGCGCCGCGGCGGATAATCATCCACACCCAAGCCTTGGACTCATTGCAAATGGTACGGGTGCAACTATTGATCCCGGAGAGTCCGTCAAACAGTACATGGGGCCGCCCCCATAGCACTTGCAATCGCACGCACACTTGTGGATGAGTTGTCCTCTACATGGTGCAGAACCGCTTCTTCAAACTCTGCTGTGCGCACGGCGAAGGGCTGCCCTGCGTCTACAAAGCGTTGAACGCTACCACTTTCATGATGACGTGCATGAATTCTCGCAATAATGGCGTGGCTAGGTTGATGACGTTCTGGGAACCGTTCGACGTATAGGCGCTCAGCTCCTCTCTCACTACCGCCAGCTTCTCCGTAAATCAGAAGCCTATCAGCAAGTTCTGCATAGGAATACTCCATTTTACCAACAAATTAATGCGATTTACGTCCGGTACGTGCAGAGATAACAAAACCTTACGATCAGTCTACTCAGTTTAATAAGACTACTTGAAACAGTGTGTCGAATCAAAGTTCACAAAAAAGTGAACACAGCAAACCAGTATGTGCGGAGGAATTGCAGTTAATTTTGTTAACAACTCATCCAAGACGACAGAACAAAATAAGATAGTGAGCGAGTCGAACCTTTCACTACTAGTGGATTTTCGCTCCCCTCAAAATTTGATTGCTGTAGTACCATAATGGCTCATTTCCGGATAGGGTTTCATAAGGCAAACCTATTTTGATACCCTCTGCAACCCCTATCAGTTTGTCACAATAAATATGAAACACCCTGTATATTTCTCGGTTCTCCATGAAAGTTTATACTCTGTTTCATTGCAGTTGATAGCTTGATACTTTCATTGTAGATTGAAAACTGTGTTTGAGTGTGCCAACAAGACAATTAGTACAGGATGATATTCAACAAATTAGAGACAAGCTGAAATTTGGTGAGAGACTGTGTTACAGGGTACTGAATATCCCCCGAAACCCCAGCACCGAGGCGTTGAGCCCGTCACTCCAAAACCACCCCTTAAGTCTGGTGAAATCTACCTTCTTTTACATTTTTCCTAATAACTCCAAAACTAAGCGTTTAAGGAAAAAATGTCAGGAGAGAAAAGTCGTAGAGAAGAAAATTTCCTATCGTACAGAAATTTTCAGTGGCGTAGATAGAGAGTATATGTATATGTGTATAATTTTTTTTTAAAAATCTATTTTTGTTTGAGACTACCTCGTGAGATTACAGTTTTTGCCATTTGATTTACTTTTATCTGAACCAAAACCAACCCAAACTAACCGGCCCCAAGATTCAAATAAAGTTCGTGTTTTAATATAAAAAATTTATTTTAGATTTATGATAAAAAATGAGTGGATAGACGAAACAGACATATCCGAAAATCCACTAATTGATCCTAATGGAGGAGCATACGTAAAGGAAGAGGCATATGAATCCAATTCTCTAACACTACCAGGCAAAATCAACATTTTCTCCAGCCAATCTAAACCCAAAAATATTTCACATACAGAATTAAGTTGGGCCAGGCTAACGGCCCTCACAGTCAGCAAGAAGTATCCAGAGACATACCGATATGCCTTCGCAAACCAGGTTTGCACAGTCGACCTGTGCAAAATAACTAAACGTCTGTGGGGGCCTTAAGATTCAAAAAAAGTTCGTATATTTCAGGTTTATGATAAAAAATGAGTGGACAGACGAAATAGACATATCCGAAAATCCTGTAATTGATCCAGTGATCCAGTAATTGATTCAAATAAAGGGCATATGTGAAGGAAGAGAAATATTCATACAAATCCAATCCAAAGTCTAAAACCATTCGGATGTTTATCCTTCCGAATGTGACACTTGTAATGCGAAATTTAAATGGATCGGGAATTTGAAGCAACATCTAAAAACTCACACGGATGTTTATCCTTTCAAATGTGACACTTGTAGTGCGAAATTTAAACAGATCGGATATTTGAAGCAACATCTGAAGACTCACACGCATGTTTATCCTTTCGAATGTGACACTTGTAATGCGAAATTCAAACGGAACGCCAATTTGAAGCAACATCTAAAAACTCACTCGGGTGTTTATCCTTTCAAATGTAACACTTGTAATGCGAAATTTAAACGGTACGACAATTTCAAGCAACATTTAAAAACTCGACACTTGGATGATAAACCTTCTCATTGTGAAAATTGTAATACGAAATTTAAATATAGGCAAAGGCTGGCACGACATCTTGGGATGCACTGAAATACTTCATTACCTTTCCGAATGTGACATTTGTTAAGTGAAACTCAAATGTGTTAGTGTAGGTGTAGCACATTATACAACGAAATATGGCTAAAATTCACAGTCCAATCGGAAAATTTTATAGTAACTAGTTTGTTTCGGTCAGATTTGACAAAGGTTCACTTGTGAACATATTTTAATAAAATGCACCTTGACCTATTAGACCGTATACCAAATTTGAAAAATTCGAAAAATATACACCGCACAAAAATTATCGCATCTATCAAAGTAGAAAACACAGAAATGAACAGCATACTTGCAAAGTGGAATCTATGCCTATCCGCATTTTCCCAAAAAAAGTAAAGAAGAACCTAACAGAAGAAGAAACGACAACGACATGTTTTTTGACTCGAGTTTTTCAGTTAAAGAATGCACATTCAGGGAATAATTGAGAAATTTTTAAAATAAATTTACTGTAGCCAAAATATTTAAAAGCATTGGTGATGCGATAATTTTTGTGCGGTGTGTATATATTTCCCTGTTTTCCATAGACGTCTAACGAGCCATCCACCTCAAGTTTAAATATCAAGGATTGTTTTAGAAAAATAAGAACAATAAATTATTTACAAAAAAAAAATTTCTGTTTGGTTTTAGTTCTTTAATAATTTGACACAAAGATTCAAAAACTCAACTTTGAACTGTCAATATTTTCAAAACAGTTGAACAGTTGAGAGGTATTATAATTTAGTACCAAAATGTATGAAATTGAAAACCCTTCAAAATGATGTATCACTTGACCACCCTTCCCATTAAGGATTTTCTAGGGGGTGGCTCTGAGGGCTGGGGGGTTGAAGGTTGAAAGGGGGAGGTGAATTTTGCATAAAAACTCATTCCCCTTCAAATTGTTTTCAACAAGACGGTTGCCCTGTAGTATTAAAATACCCGAGAAGTTCAGGAATTTTTGCATGCTAATATGGCGGTTATGGTAATAATGAAATTGATGATGATTCCAGAAAACCGAAATGCGCTGAAAAATTTTTAATCGAACATGCGTATTCTGCACAAAGAGTTGCTTTCAAAGTGTTTTTACAGATTTCAGAAATTTTCAAAAATAAATGATTTACAGCCCATTTAAGTTTCCTCTAAATATGTGAAAAATTTAAATAGCTACTCAATCTGCAAACACTATTAAACGTCTAGCATAATTGTCTAATACTTTCCGCATTTAACCTTCCTTCGTATCTGTTATAAATAGTTTCCTATATCCTAATGCATTCCTCATTAATTTGGGAGACCTTGTATATTTCCCTGTTTTCTATAAACGTCTAACAGGTCATCCAACCTAAGCTTAAATATCAAGAATTGTATAAAAAAATATATGTATATGTATATAATTAAAAAATAAAAATAAATCTATTTTTGTTTATTTGACACTTTACCTCGTAAGATTACAGTTTTTGCCATTTGATTTACATTTATCTAAACCAAAACCAACCCAAACTAACCTGCCCCAAGATTCAAATAAAGTTCGTATTTTAATATAAAAAATTTATTTTAGATGTATGATAAAAGATGAGTGGATAGACGAAATAGAAAAATCCGAAAATCCACTAATTGATCGTAATGAAGGGGCATACGTGAAGGAAGAGGCATATGAATCCAATTCACCAACACTACCAGGCGATATCAACATTTTCTCCAGCCAATCTGGAACCAAAAACAATTCACAACATATAAATGTGCATCAACAGAGAAATAAAGAATTTGAATATTACAAATGCGGTGCCAGATTTGAAAATAAAGAAGGATTGAAAAAACATTCCATCATACATCTAGATGATTATCCCTATAAATGTGACATTTGTGAAGCAAAATTTAAATTGACCGTCCATTTGAACAAACATTTGAAGACATTTAAACACTCGGATGATTATTCTTTCAAATGTGATATTTGTAATGCAAAATTTAAACGGATGAGCAATTTGAAACAACATCTTCAAACTCACTCGGATGCTCAACCATTCCAATGTGACACTTGTAATGCAAAATTTAAATTTAAACAAAATTTGAATCAACATCTAAAGGTACACTCGGATGATCAACCTTTCGAATGTGATACTTGTAATGCGAAATTCAAACGGAACGATAATTTGAAGCAACATCTAAAGACTCACTCGGATGTTTATCCTTTCGAATGTGATAATTGTAATAAGAAATTTAAATATAGACGAAATTTCAGCCGACATCAAAAAATGCATTCAAATACCCAATTAATTATCTTTCAGAACGTGACACTTGTTAAATGAAATTCAAATGTGTTGATTGCCGCTCCGCACATTAGGCGACTCAAAACAAACTAATTACAAACTCCAATCCCCAATTAGTTATCTAGTAGTTTCTGCCCGTGTATTTGAATGAGCACACAACGCAACTAGTTGGTAACGCGTCGGCGATCAGTCACCCGCAACCCAACATGCAAGTCGCTTGACAACGGCAGAACAATCCTTAAATTCGAGGCTAGTTCAAATCCTATATGCATTTCTAATAGTTTTTCAATGTAGTGGTAGTGATGAACCCAATACCTAACTTTCTCTTGCCGAATTTTCCTTTCTGAATTATATGGATAAGAGATAAATCTTATCATTTGAAAATTACATTTTGCCTCGATAATAACAATATCTTGGAGCATAATAATAAAATATTAATTTAAACACAAAAAAGCTGCCATAATCAGAAGCGCTGTGTGTGATCCATAGTTGATAACTAAATAGAGGGTGATTTATTGAGTTGTCAATAGGTTTGGTTTCTTTTTAGTTGCTCAATGTGCGAAGGGCCTTAGGTGTAGGACATTGTACATAAAATATGGCTAGAACTCACAGTAGAATTGGGAAATTCAATAGTAACTCTCGTTCTTATAACAGGCCATATACCTTCAGTTTAAATATCAAGGATTTTTTTTTTTATAATAATAATATTTATGTCCGATTGACCAATAAAGTGCTATTTATGGAACAGTTTTGCGTCAATAAAGTAGCACTTTATTGTACTAGTAAAATAAAGTGCTACTTTATTGCCTACCTAGACTACCTTACAAGGTAAAACAGGTCCTGAGAACCTGCCAAGGTGAAACAGGTCTTGACAACCTGCCAAGGTGAAACAGGTATACCTACGCGAATTTTACTTTTT